CAGTTCATCTCTCTCAACTTGCCGTAGTTACTTTCGAGCGTAATGGGCGATCTCGCAATCGCTAGTTTGTTGCCTCTGCGCTGCCGTAGCGCAAAGATGTCTGCCTCCATGGCTTCCAAGGGGAAGCAAACGCAAATATTAAGGTTAAGAGGCTGAGGTCGTAGATGATGATAAATAACATAGTTATGTATAATATATTAAATTTCTGACTGTATATCCCTGTAATTATTACACACTGTAGCTTTAAGGACTTATGTTCCAGTAGGATATAAAAACAATTTTGGTTTTTGCAATTGTGTCCTCATAGGTCTGCCATAAAGGCCAATCAGATAGTTGCGTTTCATGTAGGTCATTTTGTTGATGTTTTTTTTGTTTTTTTTCCTCACCAGAGAATGTGCCATAATTGTTCATCCGCCATCACTAGCCCTGCTCACTAGCCTGTAGGTGCACGACAGGCTCTGCTGTGAGGAGTGACCCATAAGTTGAGCTTGAACTTTCAGGCAAAGTCCACTGTTTTATCATAATTTCCTACTGCAGCTTTAAGAAAGAAGGTACTTTTAAAATGCTGGCTGAAAGTGATCATTTTCACATTTTCACAAAGCAAAATCAGATCTCTAAAAAAATGACCAAAACAATTAAAATTCTCCCTTGATGAGCATTAAAGACAAGCTTTGTCAGCTAAGTATTAGAGAGTAAATTGAATTGCCTAAGAGTGGATTTTAAAGGTGGGTATTTGGATGTTGTCAAAGCATGAAATAGTCAAAGAAGAATAAATAATTTGACCGTGTTTTTCTGTAGTACTGTAAAAGTCAAAGCTTTACAAGAAAAAAAAGTACATCTCTTGTGGGAAAATAAAACACACGCAAAACAAACTGTGCAAATTATGATCTTTTTCTTTAAGGTTTCGATGTAAGTAGTCCAGAAATTGTATACAGCAGCAAAACAACTGTGAATTTTATCTATTAAACATGGGCTTGAATATTTCATTGGCAAAACTAAAACAAAAAATCAGATATAGATATTTGACTCCTACAGTAAAAGTCAAGTATACCTTTCGAGAGGGTTTTTTTTTTTGTTTTTTGCCGTTGGGGTTGAAAAATAAATACCACTTAAATCATACATGTCTCAGAATTCCATAAAGTCTTTACCACAGTTTTTATTTTCTAACACAATTTGCAATAAAAACAAAAAAATGATTTAGCATACCATTCGTAGTATTGCCTAAAAGTCTGGCAGTGAAAAAATTCAAATGCATACAAACACAGACACAAACACACCTACATATATATATATATATATATATATATATATATATATATATATATATATGTATCGGGGTGTGGGAAAATAATTTTGCCGATATATCGTGATATTCGGCTGCCCAATATAGTATCGATCTTTCACTTCGTAGTATCGATTTTCAAAAAACAAATGGTTACATAAAACATTGATGTGAAAATGGGCTACCTCTGCACCACCACTCTGGCAGAAAG